TATGCTAAACAATAACTTCAACAAATATGTGGTTTAGATAGGTAGAGACTGGGTCATTATTACATCATACTTTTTTACATTCCAATGATTCTAAATTGCTGGTGAGCAGTGGCAGATCTGAAGAAGTTGCGCTCTGATCAAACATTTCACATCCAAGGTCCTAATTGGTCAGGGACTCAAATTACCACGTTTCAAGCCTCATTACATTTTCGACTGTACTATGCAGTATGCAATAAATGAATCCGATTTGTTTCCTTTTAAGAGATTTACGATACTTTTCTATTTATGGCTACGTGTTGCTATAAAGACCATAAAAATGTCCTTGCCTAACCTCCAACTTCTGCAGCTGAGTGATTAGATTGCGGGAATTACGAAGTGGATCAAGAGATCTGTTGTATGTGGATCCGCTTGTCAGTTAAAACAATTTACAAAATGATATAATTTTGAGAAAATCTTTACATCTTCTTTCATCAGCGCGAGGCTTCCCCGATCGCACCATTCGTCCACGAAAAAGTATATTTATCCATTTGGAGAGGCTGACAAAAATTATGAAATTGTTTAAAATGAGAGTCTCTGACTTCTTCTTCGAAAAGGTGCTCGGAGTCGCACCACTTGCTTGTATATGCATTTCAGTAAACTAATGGCGGTTAAATCGTTTCATGTTTGAAAAAAAAACAATGACAGAAAGCGAAGAACGAGTAAAAAAATCCGAGCAAAGTAGAGTACCTTACTTTGCTTGCACTGTCATGTCGATAAAATATTGTAATTAGTGCAACTGCACAAAACGACTGCTCAAGTGTGGATATTCTATGTGAACATTCGTCGTATATGCTTCTTTGATGCACTCTCATGTTGCTCTTATAAAGTAGTCAACATGTGCAAACCAGAAATTATTATAAAACAGCACCAAGAAGAGATCTAGCAAGCGTTCATGCTGCCACACGGCTGAAAGTTGACACTTTTCCTGTGAAACCCAAGAAAGTCCATAGTTTTTTGATGAGGAAAATAAGCTTTATTTGTATTTCAGGATAGCTTCCAGCATAGGAAACTGCATTTTTTTTTTGTAAAACTTTGGTAATCGCAGTTACAGCATCGCCCATGTGGGAGTTCGGATTACTAAAGTGGGTTCAGTTCTCTTCAAAAAACATGGATTCTGATTTTTTTTTATTGAGAAAACATGACTGTAAGTTAGTCATATTCCCTAAAATAAAGGTATGCTTCTGATAACACTTGCAAATGAGAGCTTATAAAATGCTGTTAGGGACCGAAGTATCGAAGAATCTCGATTTTTTCCACTTGGGGTATCAAACAAGATCTTAATGCCTGGCCAAGAAGAATTTACTCTGGATGGACTGGTACACTTCTCGGTCCGTGCAGTTTCCTTGGAGTTTTTCCAAGAAAGAAAACTTCGATTTATATGACCGACCTCTGGCCATAAATAAGATTTTAAAAATTAGCGGTCACTTTGGTACAACTTAAGTCCCGAACTGAAAAGGCGGCACGAGCTGGCACCAGGAAAATTTCATAAACGAACCCCCTTTGATCCTGAAAATTTCGAACGAAGTCCCCTCTGACCCTAAACCCTAAATGGTAAAAAACCCTAAACGAAACATCGACTAGAAAAAAAAGTCGCAGTTTTTGTGTTTTTTCGGCCACAAAAACGATATCACCCTTAGCTTTTTGCCCCAAAAACGATATCCAGCTTGACCAGGTGCCAGCTCTCCCGAGCCCTGATTCTTAGTCTTGAGTGCAGGGTTTTCGTACATTTCTATGCCCGGAACAATTCCATTATATCTTAATCACTATTTAGTCCCGCTCGTCCTCTTGCCACTTCTCCCTCACTAGACTGCTCGACAAAAACTCGTCCGAAGTCGTCATTGTGTATGCAGCAGCGAGTATCGTTGTTAAAGTGCGAAATAGCTGGTCACCGGTAATCCATAATTATCTCAACTCAAGGTAAGCAAACCGATACGGACAGAAATTTCATTTGGATGCGGTGTTTATTCGATATAATGACCAAATTAAGAAAAACGAATTGTATCATTCAAAATTCTGCTTATCTTATCATAGTTTTGCTGTTTTTCTTGAATAAAGCAAGATAATATAGGTTTTCCGGAAATGCACACTTCTAGCAAGGTCTGTACATTTTCTCGGAATATCAGATTTTATATGCTACAATTCAGGTGCTATAATATACTTACACTGAGCATTTTCGTAGGTTCCGAGTGAAGTGGATTATTGGATTTGTAACACAGGAATCTTTTTCGCATTGTACCTTTAAATTAAATGAATTTGTGATATTGTATAAAATGATGTGGTCGCCTCATTTTATGGAAGTAGATGAATCCCCCTGAAGTTCCTGTTGTTCCTCACAGTAATGATGCATGTCTTATTTTTTCAGAGGAGAGATATAAACTAGTTACATTACTGCGAATGTTATGATGTTTGCAAACATTTTTTTTCTTCGAAATTGGCAATCAGTTCAAAGTGATAGCTAAAAATTCTCCCAAAAAGGCAATAAGCACTGTGAATTGAAAATGGCACCTTATCCATCTATTTACCATATTGCATCTTGAGAAGTTGGTAAAAAAAAAGATCTTCTTATAAGCATTTATTAACTTGGCTACGAAGTAAGGTAATAAGTTGCGTTAGGCTGAGCAAAATCAACTATCAAACTACTTCGAATTCTTGATCACAGCACTCATTGGTCAAAAATGGCATTTCACTAGCAAGAAACCATTTAGGTAGTTTAGGTATACAGTTTAATAAGTGCTTTTGCTTAAACATTCCATTACAAACAAGATTCTATAACGTTTATGAGCAAAATTGCAAAATTAAGCAAACAGACTAGTAAACCCTGGTATGATACTATATACAAGTATCGTAATTCAACCAGTTTTTATCAAACTGTTAGAAATTATAAAAAAAGATTGAATTGAAAGCCAAGTGTAAAATTTTTTTCGAATTATGAAAGTTCAAGATCGTAATTTTGCTATATTAGGATGTCCTCTTTCTGGCTCTGATAGATACGATATTTTGCCAAGGTGCGCTTAGCAGTTTCTTTATAATTTCTACTACTTTGGTAAGAATTCAACTGAAGTTAAGAAGAATTTCTCCTCGTCCGAAGTTTCAAGGCTCTTTGCCATCTGTAATAAAAATACAAAAAACGAAGATTGAAAATTTCAGTCCTATGGGTATCGCCGAGGCGAGCGTAAGCAGTTTTCTTATAATCTTGGTGAGAGCTCATTTAAGGTTGAGATGAAACAAATCTTCCTCAAGTTTTCCGTTTCAAAGCTTCAAGATTTCTTGCCACTTGCAAGCATCTTAAATTCACGGTAAAGAGACGCTATTAAGTCGACATGCTATTCGATGGGTCTTCATTGGAACGTTAGCAGCAGCAGTGTGGTGTCATTGTGTTCGGGACAAAAGGCAGAAAGCGTCTGCGGAAAGCATAGAGAGAGAAAGAGTGTACAGTATGGTGGAGTGTCGGTTTTTGTGAGCTCCAGCAGATTACATGCTCTACTTGCGTTTTTACAGTCCTTCCGGTACTCATTGGCCTTCGTTTAATGAACTCTACGACGCGTCCTCATTTTGTATGACATCCATCCTATTCACTTCACTCATGCACAGCGTAATTACGCTCACTGGCCATGGAGTAATTGTCAAGATAGAATGCCGGTTTTCATTTCTTACGTTTCCTAAAGAAAACAATAGGAATTGTATTGAAGAATAACTCAATAATGCGCACATCGTCTAGCTGCGCAAAACGTTCTCGATAGCGAAGCGTTTACTCTACGAACTTCAATGTCATACAGCCGTCAGCTTCTCAGGTTCCTTGACTGAATGGGGATAGACCCTGAAGGGAGGGGGGGGGGGGGGAAGAATAACCGACAGTGAGAATATGAAAAAGGGAACAGTTTTGGTATAGTGTGATTAGTAGCCCGGAGCTAGTGTCATTCTCTCAGTATTGCTCACCTCACACTTCCGGTTGAGAAGTGTGCACTTGCGTATTTCACACGGCCATTCGCACCTTGCATTTTAATCACTCTATTGTCACACCCTAATAGGAGCGAACACCGTGAATATTCTCAGCCAGAGAGTCGTTTTTATATATTCTAGGCAATTCTAAACACATTTATTACATAACCTTCATCAAGAAGGTAAAGCATTGGTCTTTCTGGAGTTGGAACCCAAAAAAAAGAAAGAAGAGTTGAGGAAAAGTGTTGTGCTTAACAATAATTCAGAAAGGTAAAAACCTTTTGGAACTTTTTTAGAACTTCAGTCAAAATTGTTGGGCAAACTTTTAGAAAAATCAATACTTAATCACAAAATTAACTCTCTTGGCATTAAGATATAGTACCCTGCTTCTTCAGCAACACCTTGCTTGTGTGCCATATTCTTCCACCAAACCTACTCAGGAACCCTTAGCTTCAATCTTTAAGCGCTACAAGACCCCAAAAGTTCAAAACGGATTCGATTAGGCTCGAATGACTCCGCACCTATATCTGGTTCTCAGGCCTAACAAGCTGGCAGCTAGTCCGAGTCCCAATTCATTGATGCCGCCATGTGTCAGCGTTGCATAAAAAGATCAACTGTGTTTGTAGACTAAGTACGAAATTTATAAGAATTATTTTCATTGATTTTTTGGGGAGTCAAAAGAGGAGATAATTGATTTTGATAGTTGTTGACTCATAGTATGATAGGTTTATGTGGGGAAGTACTGTCGATCTGGATTGCTGCCAGGTGTGAGCTGGTTCAGCTATTGGCTCTCAAGCACGGATTAGCCCCCCCCCCCCTTCGCGAAAAAAGGCGTGTAATCCCGTCATCGGCTGTTAAGTTATCGGTGTTGATTGCAAGCCGAACGCGCCGCTCGGCTCGTTGAGTGTTTCCGATTCGGTGTGGGCGGTCCGGCCGCGGCCCGCCCTCTATGGGTCGTCAAGCCAATCATCGCATTCGCAGCCTGTTTAGTCGCTATCGACCCCTAATACTCTACGGTAGCAATGAGTATGCTGGACCCACGTCAGTTCCTGATGCCAGCGTTTTGTCTCGATTCCGCCACCACTTCAATTCTCAGCCAACAGCCTTCGCAAAATTCCGGTGGTGGCAAACTGACACATTCATTTCGAATTTCGGACCTACTCGAATCGTCAAGTGACAAGTCTGAACAAGCCGCAGATAAAGGTAAATTTCCTCGAAAACACATTTCTCTATCGCTTCACAATGCGCCAAAGTCAGTTAGTCACCCTAAGTCACTCCACTGATATAATATTCGCGATGATCCCCCTCGCTCAGTGAACCAGACCGTACCACCTGTCAATCTCGGAACTCATCCAGCCATGTTACGTACAATACAAACGGGGCGATTTTGAGCAATTTGCAAGAATTCGAGTGGAAAATGATGGTGTTTACGGGTTAAATAGAACAATCCCCTAGTGTTAGGGTCATGTTTGACAACGTCATCTGTACCTGTCTAATTAGCTCTGATTATTGCAAAGGACTTAATCCTATTCACATTAGGAGATTGTACCGTGAAAACTCAGAGTTTTCAATTCCAGAACATTCCACAACGTCGCGCCCAGAAACTCCAGAATCTGGCTGCTCACAAGTACGAAGTAGCCCGAACGACACCAGCCCCCTTGGATCGAAGAAAGCCCGGAAAGCCAGAACGATTTTCACCGATAAACAATTACAAGAACTCGAATCGACCTTTGAGAAACAAAAATATCTCAGCGTACAGGATCGTATGGATTTGGCACAACGCATGGGACTTACAGATACACAAGTGAAAACCTGGTATCAAAATCGAAGGTTGGTTTCTTTTTTCAGTTTATTCACATTTACTCGCGAAGTTTTATTTATTCCTTACTCCAACTCCTTGATGGCAAATTAATTCGCTTTTTCAACGTCTTATAATATCCTCCCCGCCTGAAAATTTTGCACTACGGTACCACCTATTAATCATGTATTCAACCTTTTACTTGCCTCAATAAGCTCTATAGGATCTCGTGTGTGCCTCTAATATTCTCAAACGACATCAAAACGCATTCCGCGGCCCTGTCGCTCTAATACAGATGATTAAATTAGCGGCCCGCGTTCTATTATTCCATCGCCTATTATTAGCACAAAGTATCGCGTGTGTTGTTTTAGGTGATGCGCCACCATCTGGTGGCTACGGTATGACCGCACAGTCTGCATTTATGCGTATATTTGATAGTGGTTTGCGTTATACGCGTTAAGTAGGGCGAGATGAGATTTGTCTCGCGATTTGAGTGTGTGTAAAATGACTGGGTCTGGGCGAGCTGAGTTGGAGGTTGAGATTTAATTGACTTGCTTTCAGGACGAAATGGAAGCGACAAGCGACCACGGGTATGGAACTGCTGAACGAGGCCGGAAACCTGGCCGCCGTCCAAAATCTGCTCCGCTCCAACCCCTACTGGGCCGGCTACGTAGGCCAACTCGGTGGGTTCCCCACTCCACTGCCCCTGATGATGGGCTTACCGTTATCGGCCGCTCTGCCGTCCGTGCCCCCGTCGCTGTCGTTCGTGCTGCCCCCGTCCCAGCATGTCGTTCCCCCCTCTAAAGAATCCACATCCGTTGATGCAGAAACAACTGATGCTAACTAGTTCGAACTCCTTGTGTCATCCATTCTTTTTATGATCTCTTGTGTGATGTGTAAAAAATAGCTTGATAAATGTGCTAAAGGTGTAAGTCCAAGTGTCGAGCAGCGGACAACTCGTACCAACACACGAATCGTGGCACACACATGTTGCACGATTTACTGGGGCGTATGACACGGTAATGGTGATAATTAGTGAGCAAAACAGTGCGGTGGCATTAGCTGAACTGACAGTGCGTACAGGTTAATTTTCTCGCCCATTAACGCCACAATAACGACACTGTACTATTTGAATAAACAGGCAAATTCCCGCTCTCTTGCAAAATTCGCATGGGGACCTCATCAGCGCGACAGCAGTCCAAGACATCGTCTATTAATGCTTCAATGATGAATAATCGCTTACCAAGTCGTTTTCTCGCTAATTATTTCTCGTTGCATCCAATTTTAATCTATCCGTCTGCAATAGACGATAGCCATAACAGTAGCAGCAGCGATGGTAAACGCGCAACCACTTGTTTGCAATTAATTGGTTTATTGCATAATACCACATGATGATAATTGGATAATTGATCCTGCCATATTAAGATTTTTGAAGAGATAAGGAAGGTAAAGGTGCAGCTCAAATTATTTTGGTATAAATCTCGAATTCAGGAAAAAACATTTTGCTCTCCGAAACTGTAATTGTTGGCAAAGTACTTGGCCTGACTCATCTCTACCAATTAGATTTACTAATAGGTGCGGATTGAAAAAGAGCCCTGGCGATTGACTTCTTGACCTGTCTCGGTGGCAGCAATCAACATCCACTAAGCTGATTGTGCTCAAAAGACGTTATTGGATTTAGCGACAATTGCTGTGTTATTGAGAAAACCGGCAATTTGAGAGTGGCCAGTGTGCGGCCCCATCTCATTTACATATTTGACTTATTTTCGCCACGATCATCGAAAAATATAGGTGTCTCGCAAATCTCGTTAGCACCCTAACCCCCCCCCCCCCTTAGCCAATATCTTCTCACATCTGACACTCATAATACTCCCACTTACAGTAGTTGAGTTAATGCGTCGCATGGTCGCGCTGCTGCCGCCGCCGCCGCCGCCGCCTCCTATTGAACTCGGTCCGGGGCAGTAATGTGTTGTTTAAGAAGAGGAGACGGGGGGCGAAGGTGGCAAGAGCGATGCTGGCAAATAGTTGTCTACTATCAAGACTCCTGTCATACATAACGCTAATCGCTCTTCTTGCCTATAACCTTGCATGTAGTCGGCCTTTGTGAAGTGGTGCGAGGAAAGATGAGTTATAATTGCTTCCGTAAAGGACACAACTGCATCGCGGGAGGAGGGAAGGGGGCCCCGATAATAAATTGGACAACCTTTAATCTCGACCACCTTTTGACTGCTTTGACACTTGTTGTTGACAGCGGTGCGAGAAAGGGAGAAGATTGCCTTAGATATGTTCCGATCGGGTAGGGATGCGAACAACTAACCATTGCCACTTTTGCCACTTTTACCACTTTTGCCACTTTGCCTATAGTTTTTATGCTCCAGCGATAATACGATAATCTACTACAATTATTTTTCGAGTGAACCTGCAAAAAAAGAAAAACATTTTGAGCACCTTTTTAACAACCCAACCGTTTTCTCCATAGCCCACTTCCGTTTGTTTGAATACATGATGAACCTATGCAGACACTCTGAGAGAACACTTGGGTGTTAAGTCGCCTCTCATTCACTCGACTTGGCGCATTCAAGCCATGCATTCACTGAGTTCTTCTACCCCAGCAAGCAGCAATAGTTTGACACCTTTTGTCATTTTCCGAGCTATAGCCCCAACAATGCGTCCATGTACCACAAACTATCAATTATGGTGTGCCTCAACTCCGGTGTTCAGCGAATAAATAATTAATGCTTTTGCGCGCAGATTTTCATTGAGTTTATCATCAGACTGCGGTAGACGACTAAGATGGCAGATTGATAGAATTTTAGCGAATAGATTTTTTATGGATATTAGTATATAGTGAAAATGCTCCTATCAATGTCAAGGATTTCAAAAAAACGACCCTCGCGTTTACCCACTTGCTCTCTGCGTATAACCTTTAACTTCAGAGCGCAATTTTTGCAGACAGTTCTTCTTCTTCTTTCGACTCTAGTATATTCACGCAAAGAAGTATGTATTGATTTTATGGTTGCAACGATTACGGTATTGCGCGGAGGTGAATCGTTCTATAATTGCTACTCATCATCTCACATAACAACACAGTGTCCTTACGATGCGCACAATTCAGTTATAATTCTCTTCGATATAGCGATTAGAAGTCGACATGAGAGATCTGACCAAATGTCGCGTCGCGCATCGCGTCGTCGCGCGCATCCCAAGGTGGATGTGTGTGCTCCCCGGGGTAAATGCTTCAATTAGAGCGCGTTTTTTGCACGTAATTGCCCACGAACGAAGCCTTTTAACTTGAGGACTTGAACAAAAATTTTTCATTACGGTAAGCCTAGTTGGTGAGGAAGGTTTTCGAGGTAAGAGCCGTAAATGGACGCTCTGCGTAGACTAGATTACTTCAATGAGATTGCGCCCGAAAGCAGTGGGTTTTTGGCCGGATTTAGATAAATTCGAGGCACCCTAATGGAGTAGAATTAACACAAAGTGGCGTGTTTAGGCTTCATCTTTCTAGAGCCAATGGGGGTTCGATTGCTGCAGTTTAGTCTCTATAGATTAGCGCTTCGAGACGCTGAATGTGCGACGATTTCGGCTGCCAATCTAGGGAATTAACTCTCTGGATGAGAGCAACTTGGGGCTCGAGAGCTCTTTATCTCTGAAAACACAAACAAGGGGGAAGGAGTGAGTGATAGTACAAGCTACAGCATCAGCTCCGAAATGTGGCATAGAAAATTTTTTATTTTTCTTCAACTACATCCTATAGAATTTAACACTGCCAGACTTCATTCTATTTATCAAAAGACGTTTTTCTTGACAAAGGCATGCTCTCAATGCTAAAAACTATCTCTTCTGTAGTCGAATATGTAGTGTAGTGAGGCAGAGACGATTGTCAGGTCCTCCACTTCAGTAAAGGTAGCAATTAGTGGAGCGGCTGTAAATGGCGTAGAAGTTGTATCGGTGTCTCTCTTTTCCGGAGAGCAAATTGAAGGGAAGCTGTGTTGAATGTGACAAAGACGAAAATCCTATTACAAAATCGAAATGTGTGACAAAGAGGGGAGGGGGGGAGGGCGAAGGTGGAGGGAAGGGGTAGAGATGGTTGGGGTAAGTACACCAGAGGTGGTGCGGGAAAAGGATGCGCAAGTGATTTTTCAGAGATTTTTTTTGTCAACACGCACTTTTTGTGAAAGTTCAAGTACTAAGCATTCTAAGCAAGTTACTGCTACACGCAACACAATATAGTAAGTTTTAATAAACTTACAGGGCTAAAAAACCAACAATAAAATTTCTCGAAGCAACGATTTTCTATTGTTTGTATGGCTGCTTTTGCAGCCACCTGCAATTGTGTCTTCTTCATAATGAATGGTCATATTAATACAAATTATTGTCAAGGATTAAGCAAGACCAATAGGATATAATTCGATTTTGTGCGCATTATCGGCGGATTTCGGGATTATCCGCACTGGTGACAATAATGTCTATTCTGGGAAGTAACTTAGAAAGGAAGTGTTCTTGTTAACCTTTGGATTTGCTTTACTGTTTGGTCATTTGAAAAATTGAAGATATATATTTTGGAATTTATAGATAGCCATAAGATTCATGAATCTGACTACGCAAATTTTGCGTTATAACCAATTTAAGTAGCGCAGTCTAAAAAATTAGAAAAATATCGCCAGCTGCTCAAGAACCTTAGCTTTTTTCAGTATTTTGCAGAGCCGTATTCGTAAGTAGAATTATTATGCAACTTGGTTGATTCATGATGATGCAAAAATTTGCAACGATCGCTCTAAATTGTTTCTTTGTGGAAAAACAAGGATCTTAGTGTTCTCCTTTCTTAAGCATAAATATTTTGAAAGAGCTAATGATTACGAAAAATTTTCTCACTGTCAGGAACACTCTACAAACGTGTCAAAGCCGTTTTTTGGCTATAAAGACAAAGACAAAGCTAGAAAATGGATTTGGGTAGTTTTTTAGGGACAGAGTTAGAAGAAATTCGGTTTGAATTGCGTTGCAAATCTCTACAATCTCTCAGCTCAGACAAAATCGCCTAGCAATCATGAGTATGAGCATTGTTTTATGATATAACTTAGATTATTCTCGTGTGCTGTACAAGTTTCTGCTCTCAATTTACTGTTGGCCAAATAAGAAATAATCAAAATTACATCAAAATGCTCAGTTACGAGAAAAAAAAGACCTGTATAAATTTTCGAGAATTTTTTCCAATCAGAAAACGGAGTTTTGAGATCATATTAAATCAAACAAATTACTTTGAGTAGCTACAGTAAATCAGCAAAAGTTCCAAACTTCGACCTTTCGCAGTCCGTTCGTGTACATAATACAGGAAATATTACCGTTTTGGAGGAACTCAACGGCAGTTAACGCGTTCGGCGATGACCTTGTCTGCAATAGGTATCATTGTCCACACAACGCACACACATTTCCATTACCAGCTCACTTAATTATCGAGGACCCCCAACCCCCCTACAAATTACACACTAACGACGCCTCCGAGCCATACATGAACACCGGAAGTGAATCACTTAGAACATCTTATGCACTTGGCTTAATGACTGCAGCTACGATTTCGAAAATCGCACTTTTTTTGGGATCTCAAGGCAAATGGTCTTAAAACATTATAAATGCTACTTCTTCATTAACATCATAATCTCAAAAAAAAAAACTAAAACGTCTTCAACCAGTGGTAGTCTTATAGGGTAGATATCCCCCTGTTTTGGTCAATTTTTGCTGAAACTAACAATAAGGTAAGTGGAGTCGTCTTTCCATACGTTAAATTGTGATACCAATTTTTAATTTTCCCCCTAAAGTTGGTTCTTTTCTAGAGCAAAGGTCTTGACT